CTTCTCCTCTGTGCTCCCACAGCACCCTGGGCTTCCACCCTCCCAGGACCTGTCTCCCTGCACCAAAATAGCCTTTGGTTTTTATTTTTTCTAAGCAAGTCTCTAGACCATGCATTCTGCAAGGACAGAGGCTGGACTTGCCTTGTTTGCCTATGCGTCCTTGTCATCGAAACCAAATTAGCTTGTTTAAATCAATCAGCTCACTCGTGAATGAGTAGAGTGCAGTGCCTTAACTGCTGTTGTCTGTCTGGACCTCCCACTTGGCCACTAGATGGCCGGGCTCTCTGACCCAGGGCTGGGCTGTGACCTGATTTCTGTGTGTCTCCTCAGCTGGATCTGTCCAGAAGGCAATGCCTGATGGGCACCGTGCTGAGAGGAGGCAGCGTGTTGACTCCTAGGTTGTTTATTTCTGCACTTCAGGTTGAGACCCATTAGTTTAAAAGCCTGCCAGTGCCAAACTCAAACTCTTACACATAAAACTGTTTTGAATATAGCCCAAATAAAGCAGACCTACAGCCCGCCTCCTTTGTAGACCCTGTGAAACTGCCCAACATCTGCTAGTAACAGATCAAACAAACCTCGGGGCTATAGAGATCCCAAACCACTGCTGCCCTTCGTTCTGTGACCCAGAGTCTCCTGACCACACTGACCAGGGACGTCACCTATGCATCCCCCTCCTCTCTGATCCCACTTTCCCAGAGAGTGCCTCTCTCCCCTCCCCTTCTGAGTTTGGGCCCCACAATGTAACTTCCCTATTGTGAGGGACTTCCCCCGAATGCAAACCCCTCAGAGCATCCCCCAAATAAAGCTTGTGCGTGTGACCGCCACCTCGTGCTCATGTCTTTGTCCTTGATCAGCCCTGGAATCCCTCCAACTCCCTACAGGCAGAAGTCTGGGGAAGCCTGCATACTTATAATTTCCATGTAGTCTCACTTTGATCATTTTTTAATCTGTCTTGTCACCCTAGGTTTAAATTTATCATCTGGCTTAGTCAGTATTACTTCTAAACCGAATCTTCACCTGCAGAATTCTGTTGCAGCAATTCAGAACAGTCTCCAATTCTCATGACCCTGGTTATCCACCTCAAATCTCATTGGACTTTCAAACTCTAGCCCCTATTCCCCTGCCTTGGGCAACCATTTGGGGCACTGGCTCCATCAGTCCAGTCCATGCTCCTGGCCCATGCTTCCGGCAAACAGCCCAGGAGCTACCACTGGATGAGGTAAGAAGAGGGACTTGAACTGAGTGCTCTCTGAAGTTTCTAGTTTCCATCCCCAAGATTCCATGGTTCATAATATTTGCAACAGAGCTTACACTAATGTGGCTGGAGATGGAATCGAGGATTATGAGTACAAAGCAAATGGCACTTAAGGTCTTATTTGTAGATCTACAGAAAAGGAAAGAGATTTGTTAGCATAATCAGAGCCTGTGCCTTGATATTTTTTTATTTGTTATGACACAGAGTAAGCCTGAGTTCCTACTAGAAACGTTGGAAGGAAATAATTCATCATCCATGTTTCTGAAGGCCAAGTACATTTTCTTGGTGGAGTTCTAACTATCCAAAAATATCCAAAAATGAGGTCTCACTTCACACAAATCAAATAGCGCCGTGGTAAGAAATGTTAACACACCTTGACTAGTCACTTTCCCTTGTGGACATGAGCCCCAGCCCAGGCTTTATCCACACAAGACTCTTGGTAGGGAGAATGGCTGGGAATCTGAAGACGATGGATCACTCCAACAGCTAGAAGTGATCGTGGTCACGGATTTGAGGGACCTGTTGGTTTGAGTGGTTCTATCTGCCTGTCCTCCCAGCTGCATACTAACTTTTTACAGAACAAGGTACCCTAATCTTTGCGTTTTGCTCTGGCCTCAGAGGCATCGACATCTGACAGATATGTGCACAGGCGTGTTTGCTGCTGAGGGAAAATCCTCGAGTGCTGTCTGTGGTGTCGATCTGAAGAATTAGACCCCCAGCCATAGCCTGGCAATGAACATAGCTGAATGCAAATACCAGAAGGAGAAGAAGTAGAGAAAGAATGGGAAGCAATATTTAAAGCAATAATGACTAAAACTTTCCCCAAATTAATGTCCCACACAAAAACCAAAGATCCAGGAAGCTCAGAGAACACCAAGCAGAATAAATGCCCCCAAAACTACCCCTAGGTATGTTATACTCAAACAGCAGAAAATCAAAGATAAAGAGGGGAAAAATACTGAAAGAAGCCAGAGGAAGAAAAAACACCTAACCTGTAGGTTAACAGAGATAAGAATGACATCTAACTTTTCCTCAGAAACTATGCAAGCAAGAAGAGAGTACAGTGAAATATTTATAGTGTTTAAAGAAAAAAATACCAACCTAGAATTCTGTATACAGTGAAAATATCCTTCAAAAGTGAACAAAAAATATGTCGTCAAACAAAAATGGTGGAATTTGTTTCTAATAGACCTGCCTTGCAATAAATTTTTAAACAAAGTCTTCAGAGAGAAGGAAAATAATATAGATCAGAAACTCTAATCAACATTTTTTTAAAAAAAGAAAGAGCATCAGAAAATGAATAAGTAAAGGTAAAATAAGAACTTACTCTTATTTGTAATTGATCTAACCAATAATAACCTTTTCAAAATTAAAAAAAACAATGTATTGATTATTACAGTTTATATATAAGTGAAATGAATGACAATGATCATAAAAGTGACAGAAGGAATAAGGAATATTTTGTTATAAAAAGGATTTAGGAATAAATCGTTTCAAAGTACTTGTACTACCATGAAGTGGTACAGTGCTATCTGAAAGTGGACTTGGGTTAGTTGTAAATACATTGCAAACTTTAGGGCAACCACTGAAAATAAGCACATGAAAAGATGCTCCACATATCCTATGTGAATAGAGAATTGCAAACTAAAACAAGATACTACTATACACCTATCAGAATGGCCTAAATCCAAAACACTGACAATACCAAATGCTGGCAAGGATGTGGAGCGACAGAAACTCATTCACTGCTGGTGGAAATGCAAAATGGAACAGCCACTTTGGAAAAACAGTTGGTAGTCCCTTACAAAAATAAGCATTCTCTCACCATACAATCCCAAAATTGCACTCCTTGGAATTTACTCAAAGGAATTGAAAACTTCATGTCCACACAAAACCCGCACACAGATGCCTATAGCATCATTATTCATAATTACTAAACTTAGAATCAACTAAGATGCCCTTCAGTGGGTGAATGGATAAATAACCCGTGTTGCACACAGACCATGGAATCATATTCAGCACTGAAAATAAAGGAGCTATAAAGTCATGAAAAGACCTGGATAAACCTTACATCCATATTATCAAATGAAAGAACTCATTCTGAAAAAGCTACATACCGTATGATTCCAACTGTATGACGTTCTAGAAAAGGTCAGGCGATGGAGATGGTAAAAAGATCAGAAATGAACTGGGTTGAGGGTGGAAGGGAGGAAGAGAGAGTGCAAAGGATTTTTTGAGGCTGTGAAACTGTTCTGTGTATAAACAGTAGAAACGTGTCATTATACATCTGTCAAACAGACTACAACACTCGCATAAATCCTAACATGAACTATGGACTTTGGGTGACGATGATGTGTCAGAGTAGGTTCATCAGCTGTAACAAATGTACCGCTCTGGTGGGGTGTTGCTAAGGAAAGAATCTGTGGGGAAGTGGGGCGAGGGTTGCGGGGGTCGGGGGACATACGGGAAATCTCTGTACTTCCCTCTGAATATTGCTGTAAACCTAAAACAGCTCTAAAAATAAAGTCTTTTTTTTTTTTTTTTTTTTTTTTTAGAAAAAGGGAATCATGAACATGTATTTGAGGAGGGGTGAGAGAAGGTGATGGGATTGCAGGTACTAGGAAGGGGCTTCTAGGACTCCGGTGAGTTCTTCATCTGAATGGCAGATACACAAACGAATCACTGGTGAGTCTCCCAGTCCCGGGATGGACCGCCCCGTGCTGGCCTCAGAGGTAATGGCTGTTGAGATCACAGCTTTGCTTTATGCTTCAGCCTCGCTTTGAGTTGTGTCTTCGTTACTCATAATTAAAATGACCCCAACTGATACGGCCTCTTAAATTGAACACAGTACAACTGGGGTTCGATTTAGTATAAACCATCATTTGATCCTATTCTGTGTTGTCTAATCGCACCATTAAAAGCTTAGCACATTAATTACTCCAACTGGAAGAAAGATTTGTTTGGAAAGAAGAGACTGTCATCATAACAGCTCTGTGTTTTTTCCAACGTGAAAAGGCCTCTTCCTTGAAAAGGCTCTGATTAAGCACGTGTGACTCCAAGGACAATGGGGTTGTTTTTTTACTCTGTAAATCACCAAACAGAAAAGAGTCAGGCTTGTACTCTGGCCCGGGCAGGGAGCGGCTTAATCTGGCCGGAAGATCACACATTCCCCATTGGAGCGAATGGCTGGAGGTCAGACCACAGGGTGAATGCAGTGACCACAGGGCATTCTCCAGAGGAGAGCAAACAGCTAAATGAGATTTAGCTCAGAACGGGGCTCGGGGCTCAGCCAGTGCTTTTTTAACCTGCGGAATAAAGAGCTGTGGTTTCTCCGCAGACAAGTCCTACCCTGGAGACAGTCCTGCTGAGGAAATGATTTCAGTCCCCGCTACTTGCAGATATAAAGAAATGGGTAGGCAAGAAAAAGGGGCCACGCCCGACCGGCATGGCTCAGTGGTTGAGCATCGACCTATGAAACAGGAGGTCACGGTTCGATTCCTGGTCAGAGCACATGCCCAGGTTGCAGGCTCGATCTCCATTGGGGGGCGGGAGGGAGGCAGCCGATCAATGATTCTCTCTCATCATTGATGTTTCTGTCTCTCCCTCTCCCTTCCGCTTTGAAATCAATACAAATATAGATTTTTTTGAAAAGGGTTTGCCCAAGACCCCCGTGTGCCCCCCGTCCAGCTCCCCTCTGAAGCCAGCTCCTGCCGCTCGTTCGGACAGTGATTCCCCTGATTACCGAGGGTCCAGCAGGAGACGGCCCTCAGGAGTGGGGCGCTGCCGTAGAAGGCGTGCATGTACATGAGGTGCACCATCAGCTCGGCCAAGCACCAGCAGACGAAGAGGCGGCCCAGCCCCCGGGCCAGGACGGGCAGGCTGAGCCTCAGTGGGCACTGCTCTGGCTGCCGCATCTACGGGGGAAACAAGAAGTCATCAGACTGCACCTCCGTCTTTCAAACAGTCCCCAAGACAGTGGTTTTAATGCACTGCCTCAAGCATCACTGCTGTATCTACGAAGAGAGGGTTGGTGTCGTTTGCCTTGGGAGCACTCCATGTTCTTGGGTTAAAAAGTCATGGCTGAGCCTGAAGCCTGTCCCAGGGTAAGAACAGGACGGGGTCGACCAGCCAGCCTAGAATCAAGAGCCAAGCCGGGTTCCACAGACCTTCATACCAGCAACCACCCTGCCAAAACCTGGGACTCTGGGGTCCCTTGGGGTTCAGTGCCACCCTGCCCGTCTTCATCCATTACCCCCTCACGTCTAAGGCTGGTGAAAGTAGAGCCGAGTCAGGAAGGGGCCCAGGACTGATAAGAGAAAGACAAAATGAGAGGTGGAGCCTGAGGACAAGGGAAAATCAGGTGCGGGTGTGTCATCTGAGCTTAAGTTGTGTTTGAAACCAGGCAGCGTAAACACAAACAGTCTCTGGCTGAGCAGGTAGTACAGGGTCATCGTTAAGAACACGGGATCCGATTCTAGCACAAACCACACAGCTGGTGATCCTGAGCAAGTTGCTTACCCTCTCTGAGGCTTGGTTTCCGCATACATCAAAGGGGGGAAAAATGTTGCGGTGATTAATATAATAAACAAAGGCCTGGCACACAAAAAGCATTGGACGACTGGTAGTTAAACCCTGGTCATGATGTGCACTGCACATTCTTCACCTTCACCTTCTTCCCTCGTGGCGTCCCAGAC